CAGCCGCTACAGGGATCTGGTGGCGAAAACAAAACGATTTGGGTGGGTGACTTGCATCATTGGATGGACGAGAGTTACCTCCATAACTGCTTTGCTTCCATTGGCGAGGTTCAATTTTCTCTCTTCTTTTTCACTCATCTTTACGTTTATTATCGATGATGATTATTTGCTGATTTTCTGGAATCGTTAAAGTTCTCATATAAATCAATCTTTTTTTATTTTTTTATTTCTTTATGAAATGATTCATTCTCTTCCTGAACATAAGGCTAGAAATATTGAATAATTCCCTTCTCCGATTCATCCAAACAGTTGTAAACGTCTACCAGTTTCTAGTTCTGATGATTTTTCTTTTTGGAGGTTTGCGTACTTCATTGTCGTTGTGCAATTTGAACACAGAAGTGCAGAACCAAATGGCAATTATAAGTTTGATCAAACATTTGGTTTTTTTTTTTTTTTTTTTTTTTTTTGGGAAAAAAAGGTTTTTGCTACTTTTGAGAAAGTGAGAATTTATTGGAGTTTTTTGTTGCGATTGGTTTACATTTTCTGATATTAGTAGGTTAGAGTATAGAATCTGCGTAAAAATGCAGCCGTATATTTTGCCAAAATGTTGTTTTGGCATTTGACAAATTTTAATGAGAGCGAATTGGCAACTGGTAAATGGTAAAGCAACATAGAAGCATGTTATAGGACTTCTTAGTCCTGTCTAGAATGGCTTTATCTTCTAGCCTCTCAAATTTACCACCTGTTGAATATGGTAAAGCAACATAGAAGCATGTTATAGGACTTCTTAGTCCTGTCTAGAATGGCTTTATCTTCTAGCCTCTCAAATTTACCACCTGTTGAATATGGTAAAGCAACATAGAAGCATGTTATAGGACTTCTTAGTCCTGTCTAGAATGGCTTTATCTTCTAGCCTCTCAAATTTACCACCTGTTGAATATGGTAAAGCAACATAGAAGCATGTTATAGGACTTCTTAGTCCTGTCTAGAATGGCTTTATCTTCTAGCCTCTCAAATTTACCACCTGTTGAATATGGTAAAGCAACATAGAAGCATGTTATAGGACTTCTTAGTCCTGTCTAGAATGGCTTTATCTTCTAGCCTCTCAAATTTACCACCTGTTGAATATGGTAAAGCAACATAGAAGCATGTTATAGGACTTCTTAGTCCTGTCTAGAATGGCTTTATCTTCTAGCCTCTCAAATTTACCACCTGTTGAATATGGTAAAGCAACATAGAAGCATGTTATAGGACTTCTTAGTCCTGTCTAGAATGGCTTTATCTTCTAGCCTCTCAAATTTACCACCTGTTGAATATGGTAAAGCAACATAGAAGCATGTTATAGGACTTCTTAGTCCTGTCTAGAATGGCTTTATCTTCTAGCCTCTCAAATTTACCACCTGTTGAATATGGTAAAGCAACATAGAAGCATGTTATAGGACTTCTTAGTCCTGTCTAGAATGGCTTTATCTTCTAGCCTCTCAAATTTACCACCTGTTGAATATGGTAAAGCAACATAGAAGCATGTTATAGGACTTCTTAGTCCTGTCTAGAATGGCTTTATCTTCTAGCCTCTCAAATTTACCACCTGTTGAATATGGTAAAGCAACATAGAAGCATGTTATAGGACTTCTTAGTCCTGTCTAGAATGGCTTTATCTTCTAGCCTCTCAAATTTACCACCTGTTGAATATGGTAAAGCAACATAGAAGCATGTTATAGGACTTCTTAGTCCTGTCTAGAATGGCTTTATCTTCTAGCCTCTCAAATTTACCACCTGTTGAATATGGTAAAGCAACATAGAAGCATGTTATAGGACTTCTTAGTCCTGTCTAGAATGGCTTTATCTTCTAGCCTCTCAAATTTACCACCTGTTGAATATGGTAAAGCAACATAGAAGCATGTTATAGGACTTCTTAGTCCTGTCTAGAATGGCTTTATCTTCTAGCCTCTCAAATTTACCACCTGTTGAATATGGTAAAGCAACATAGAAGCATGTTATAGGACTTCTTAGTCCTGTCTAGAATGGCTTTATCTTCTAGCCTCTCAAATTTACCACCTGTTGAATATGGTAAAGCAACATAGAAGCATGTTATAGGACTTCTTAGTCCTGTCTAGAATGGCTTTATCTTCTAGCCTCTCAAATTTACCACCTGTTGAATATGGTAAAGCAACATAGAAGCATGTTATAGGACTTCTTAGTCCTGTCTAGAATGGCTTTATCTTCTAGCCTCTCAAATTTACCACCTGTTGAATATGGTAAAGCAACATAGAAGCATGTTATAGGACTTCTTAGTCCTGTCTAGAATGGCTTTATCTTCTAGCCTCTCAAATTTACCACCTGTTGAATATGGTAAAGCAACATAGAAGCATGTTATAGGACTTCTTAGTCCTGTCTAGAATGGCTTTATCTTCTAGCCTCTCAAATTTACCACCTGTTGAATATTGTGAAAAGGGTATGAAGAAGTAATGGAAGATCACATTCTCTAGCAATTGACATTGATATTTTGTTTCTGAAGGAGGTTTCTTTTATAGCTTTTTATATTTATTGCTGTGTATTCAGCTATGTACATGGATTTTCTAGCTACTCTATCTCGTTCTTTTCCCTACTCTTTCGAACCAAATAATAAAAATGAATCTAATGACATTATCCCAACTGTTTCCAAACAATCTCTTTTGTTGAAGAATCTTGAATTGTTCTTAGTTTGGCATGATCATTTTGAACATTGATTGTTTTATTTCCTATATGACGCAGATTGCATCGATCAAGATCATTCGTAATAAGCAAAGTGGTTTGTCTGAGGGGTATGGGTTTGTAGAATTTTTTGCCCATGCAACAGCTGAAAAAGCTCTTCAGAACTATGCTGGAGTGCTCATGCCAAGTACAGAGCAGCCTTTCCGCTTGAATTGGGCGACATTTAGCACCGGTGACAAACGATCAGATAATGATCCCGATCTTTCTATTTTTGTTGGTGACTTAGCTGCAGATGTTACTGATGCTCTGTTGTACGATACATTTTCTAGTAAATTTCCTTCTGTTAAAGCAGCAAAAGTTGTCATTGATGCCAATACTGGTCGTTCAAAGGGTTATGGTTTTGTGCGGTTTGGAGATGACAATGAAAGGTCTCAGGCCATGTCTGAAATGAATGGTGTATATTGTTCGAGCAGACCTATGCGCATTGGTGCAGCAACGCCTAGAAAGTCTTCTGGATATCAGCAACAGAATTCTTCACAAGGTATATTTAAATTGTATGGTTACAATGTAGTGTGCATAGCCTAAAACCACTTCCAAGAGGGATTAGGGTTAGTCTTTGGGGAGGACGTGCAATTCTGGAATAAGTAAAGATATGGAGGCTTTCTACTTTTTCGGGGGCATTTGGTTCAAGGCTGGGGGTTATGAATCAAATAGGGCTGTGAAAATGAAAACTATAATGCTAACAAAGAAATATGTGTTGTGTATTCCTGTCTATCAATCAAAAAGGGTTTGGATTTAATTTTTTGAATGCATGTGTTCTTAGAGTTTACTCATGGTTGTACACTTCCCTACCCCTTTTGGACTGCTCATGCATATGTTGTCCTCTGTTTATTATAGGAGGATATTCAACAAATGGTCCCTTTAGCCAAGGACTCCAATCTGAAGGAGATTCTGCAAATACAACTGTAAGTTGCTTTGGTTACTTTTATCTGCACAGCTAGAAATTCCACGTATTCTTGGGTTTAACCTGAGCTTTCCTTTTAGATATTTGTTGGAGGGCTTGATCCTAATGTCACCGATGAAGATCTGAGGCAACCTTTCTCACAGTATGGTGAGATAGTCTCTGTTAAAATACCAGTTGGTAAAGGATGTGGGTTTGTTCAATTTGCCAATAGGTAAAAAGTTGGTGATCAGATTTTCCTTTCATATAAACCATGAATTAACAGTATCTGTCTGGTTATTGGTTTTGTCAATTTGTTGATTTTTACTAAATTCTGTCACATATTCTTCTCAATTTTCCTCTGCAGAAATGATGCTGAAGAGGCCTTGCAGAAACTAAATGCAACTGTAATTGGCAAGCAAACTATTCGTCTTTCTTGGGGCCGAAATCCAGCAAATAAGCAGGCAAATTACCCTTTTCTCCTAGTGTGAAAATATTAACAAAAAACTTATGCATCACTCTCTCAATTTCCATGCTTTTCCTGAAGGGCAAGGATAGGAAAACAAATAAAATGAGCTGTTTTAAGAACTTCAATTAAGTATGAACTTTTTATTTGAACCTTGTCTCAGTTATGGAATTGAATTTGGAAACACTTGGCCGGGGAAATGTTTAGTTTACATTCCTTCTTAATTCTTACCATCTGTAGCGGCCGATTTAGGTTGATAAATAGTCTTAACAGCATTTTTTCTTGCATTTGTTGAGGTGTGGCAGTTCAGAGATTTTGGTAACCAGTGGAATGGAGCTTACTACGGGGGGCACATATATGATGGCTATGGATATGGTCTGCCGCCTCACGATCCAAGTATGTATCAGGCAGCTTATGGAGCTTACACTGTATATGGAAGCCATCAACAACAAGTAATCTGAACACAGAAAAGCTCATATTAATCCTTAGGCGCTTTTCAAGTAGAACAGCTGAAGTTGCTCAGCTTCTGGAATTCACTTGGTTTTAGATTTTTTCTTTTTTCCATATTAATCATCCTTCCATCTGCCTAGAGGAACTGAATTTTGATGACCTGAGCTAGTTCTCTCATCTTGTAGGGAATATTATATATTTATTTCATTCAGATTGATAACAAACTTATTTATTAGAATATATATATATATATATATATATATATATATATAATGTTGCAATAGTGCATGCATGTTACACACACAATGTCTCGGTTATACCTATTCTTTGGTCAATCTTTCTGTTCATCTTTTTCAACTAGTTTAAGAGTTTCGGCCTTTCGAAATGCAGGATCGATTATTACTAAAGTAAAATTATGTTCATTTGGTGAGAATTTTGGATGTTTTTTTTGGCATCTGAATCTTATGTTCTCTCTGTTAGAATGGATTTGTGGGTAGGTTGGTATCCTACATTAGGTATGAGTACACTACATATTGACTTTGTTGGACAGAGCAGTACACTTCTGAATCATCACCTTTTCCTTTAATATTCTTTACTGTTCAATTGCAAGTCTGCAACTTCCTTTCGATCCATGGGGATGATTCAGAAGCATGATTGAAAATTGAGTGTCCTTTGGGGAAAAAAGAAGAAGAAGAAGAAGAAGAAGAAGAAGGGACCCCTCAAATCAAAACAGTGTAAACAGTGTTGCACTGCGATTGGGAATTGTAAAAGAGGCTTTTTAGATGGAAGGTGGGTGTGCCATGTCAATGTCACAGCACCGCCGTTGCCCTACGGCTACTGCAAAAGTGCAGCAGCCTGCTAAGAAAAGCATAAAGGCGTTTTAGCACGGCAGGTCCCCACCCCCCCACGGCTGTAATTGGCAGCGCCATAGCACTTTCTTTTACATTGTTATGCTCAGGTTTCAAGATTATAACTGGATTTGTCGCTGATTTACTCAATAAACCCCTCTTCATTGCTGCTGCTGCTGCTAAGGACAACGACAAAGGAAGGAAGATGAGGTTGCTCCCTTAGAATTATTTTATTTAATTTTTGCAAAAGGACAATATATTTTTATTATTTGGGCTAACAAAATTATTTGTCTTCACATTTCTTAATGGGTTCCATTTGTTTTTTTTTTGTTTGTCTTTTTTCATTGAAATGTTGGGAGTATTTGTAGGGCAGATTTAAATTTTTCGTTATTATTTGAGTTATTGAATATTTAGTATTTATTTTGTTGAACTATAGTTTTTTTAGTTTGGTATTTAATAAATCTTTCATCATTTTAAAATTTTGAAATTTTTTGTTTAACTGTTCATTGAACAGAGTGTACTAAAAATTTAAATTTTTTATAATTGTGTCAGATAGATTTTTGACATAATTTTTTTAAAAAAAATTAAATATATATTAAAATAGAATTGGATTTTATGTTGAGTTTGCTTTTGTTTGTTTATATTCATTTTTAAAAATTATTTATTGTCTACAGAAATTCCAGATATAGTCAAATTTTGTTTTCAAACAAATAAAGAGCAACAAAATTCGAAGTTCCGCGGGAAAACAATAATCGGAATCGTTAAGTGTGCAATTACGCCTCTGATTCGCCTCTCCAACAATAATATTCTTCAATGAATTTGCATTAATTGCAAAAGGATGATCGATCAAGGGACTACAAAATTTGTTAGGTCGTGCATCTGTCATTTTCCTCTTGAATCTGACTTTTCCGCTTTCAAGATTGCTTCAGTTAAACACCAATTTCCCGATTGATCGACTCTATGAAGATCAAGCAGGTATTATAATAACCCTCTTTTACTCATCTGCCCTGCAAAATCGTTTGTCTGCCATCGATTATGACAAGCCTTAACTCTCCAACTGCAATTTGATTCTAATTATTTTTGTTTGGAATTTAGAACAAGAAGTTGCCAATTGTTTGGTGTGTTCGCTGGGCCGTCGCGCGAGTGCGCATAAACTGTTTGTCAAAATGCGAATCCGCTTTGGCATTGGAATTGCTGCTGAGTTTACTTTTGAAACACTTACTGGCTACTTACGTTCTTCATTAATTCAAGTACACAACATATTTAAAACCTCTTGAAGAACTCAGCAGCCCGATCCTTTCGGAATTCAAGTAAGCACTAGTCTCATCCCAACTGCCTTTAGAACAGGGTCCCCCAATAATTAAAAGGCTCCATACATGGAAAGATTAGTGCTTTATTACTTTTGTTAATCATGGAGCATTAAGATATTTCTGCTTTGATGTCTCTGTCACGTGGATGTGAGTGCCTACTTTGATTTTTTTTTAAATTTATTTTACATTTTTCTTTATTTCCCACAAGCCTTTTTAAGTCGATAAGTGACCATTTCTATCATGAAAGCATCCATTCCATGTGTAAGTGACAAAATAGCCAAATTTGCTTTTCCAAAAAACAGAGATTTCATTATTAAATACACTACTTTTCCAGCTTGAAGCTTGTTTTTAAAGAAATCAGCTGTGTTTTGACATATGCATTGAGAAGGTTGAAGGGACTCAGACATTTTATGAGCTGTGGGGTTTAGTATGAACGCATTCATTGATTGATTTCTTAGAGATAAGAGGCTTCATTTCTGATCAATTATCTTTTCTTGATGGATAAGGAAGAAAGTAGGTGGGGAGCATTTTCGAGCGGCATAAATTGGTGCTAGGTGAATTTCTTTCCCTCTTTTCAAGTCAGGTCTGAAAATGCAAATCTGTTATATTCATATTAAGAACAGAGCAGAAATGGGTTATACATTTATTGAAATGAAAGCGGGGATTATTATAATAAGCGTTGGTATTAGGTAGTTAATTAAGAACGAATACCAATGTTATTACGTATGATCAAACCAGGCAATTCTAGAGCTCTTCTGCTTTGGATCTTCCGAAAGAAGTAAAAATGTATTAATTAGTTGGCAAGCATGTGACTGTGGCAGTCTTTGCCCTCAAATTCATTCCTTATTAATATTTTATGCAATCGCCTCTCAGTGTGCTTCCAAAGTCACTAACAATCACAACCCACATGGGATTTGATTTATATTTAACCAATGAAATCTTAATTACTCTGGCTGTACTCTGTTTTCGGGATTCATTGTATTCTGAAAGTCCATTCCCAAAAGAAAGTAAAAAAAAAAGGGATATAAAGGTGATGGGGTTCGAAAGAGAAGGCACACGTTGTTCCATGATGACGCTGGCATGTTGTGGACCATAGAGCGGGATATGCAAGAGATGCACATAAACTTTCTGCAAAGCCATTCGTTTTACCTTTCACTCAGTGAGTAAATCTCTCTCTTTTTCTCTCACACAAGCTTTTGAAGCGGTGGAAGATATGGTAAATTACTCCCGAGTCGGTAGACCCGGTTGTCTGTGGCTGTCATATACAGTATCTTAAATAGACTTCCATGTCTCCGAGACGTCCAGTATCTGCTATTCCGAAAATAAAGTCCCAATTCTTGTTTCTTTGCATTGATCGAGGAATGTCGAAATTGGGAGGTAAATCGTTGGATTGGTCTTTCGCCATTGAATTTCTTAGACGTCTATGAAAACATGAGCCTCTTTTCCTCTCAGAAAGGTTTGATCTCCATTTAAGGCTATTCAGTACGCTTTGATCCCTTGTTTTGTCTGATTCGATGGAATTGTTTTGTTAGATATTTTGTCATTGAGAAGGTAAATTGAGTAATAAAATTGGTTTGGATTGCAGTTTTGAAGAGATGGATCGCAAAGGGAGGACAAGGGTGCAGTCAATGAGAGCATCTGCGAATCATGAAAAAGTAATCCCAGCCTTACTTCCAAGTCTTGTGCATAGTTCTAAGTAGGTCGCTGTAGTTTCTTACCTTATTTATTGCATGCTTCGAAAAACGGTTTGTTCTGTTGATGAGCGAAAGCCATGAAAAATATGAAGAAATCTTCTTATCTCTTTTATTCTGCATCTGATGAAGTTCTAAATTTATATGAAGTCTTCTGCTTTCCTTCATACAAATTTTGTCGCCCATCCTCTTACTTCTGGGCTAGAATCACTGGTGCGATACTACTGTAAAAGCTAAAAGGTTGAATTCCGAATTGCCTTGAAGGGAAGCGTGGATATGCCGGCGGCGAACTTGCCTGATGCAGCCAAAGCAACCACGAGTGGACGGGTTGCAAGCAGAGAGAGAAAAGTGGCTTTACAACAAGACGTATGAACGTTTCATCCCGATCAAAATCGCTAATTACTTGTTTTCTTCTTCATAATTTTATATTGGATTTGGCATTCTGAATCATCAGGTTGACAAGCTGAAGAAGAAGCTCAGACATGAAGAAAATGTGGGTCGTGCTTTGAAGAGAGCTTTCACCAGACCTCTGGGAGCTTTACCCCGCCTCCCTCCTTTTCTTCCTCCCAATGTACGTATTTCAAATTCTCAATTCCTTCCTTATTGATAGCTTTGAATTTTCCTTAAACATTGAAAACAATGATATTCATAATTCATGCTAGCAGTCGGGAATACAGTTTTTTTAAAAAAATTATAAACAGAGGCTTGATTGGTGAAACGAAGCCAGAATTGTAATGCCAGATCTTTCACGCCTGCAGATGCTAGAACTTCTTGCCGAAGTAGCTGTTCTTGAAGAGGAGGTGGTGCGGCTTGAAGAGCAGGTTGTGCATTTCAGGCAGGACTTGTATCAGGAAGCTGTCAACATTTCCTCCTCCAAGAAGAACATGGAGCTTTCCCTCAAAAACAATTCCAAGCAAGTTCAATCCGAACATTCAGTTCAGAAGACTGGTAATTCATTGGCAACCATGAACGATAAAGCCAAAACTTTTTTATGAGTTTGAAGTTATTAAATGAAAAATGTGAATCAGGTTTGGAATTACCTTTTGAACCCTTTTTCCTTTGCCTATTTTCTGTTTCAGATAATGGTCTGGGAAAGGAAAATGAATCACGTATGAATTCGACAAGTAACCACAAGGTTTCTTCTCTCCAGAAAACCCATACGATAAAGACCCCAGTCAAGAAATCTCCAGCTCGATACAAATCATCAGCGAAACCGAATTCTCCAAAACTGAATGTGAGTATGAAATTTCCATATTATTCATTTTTGGTATTGTTATAAACACACACACATATATATACATATACTTTTCTCATATTCAGTTCGAAAACCGAGAGACGAGTCCAGAAAATGCTGAAGCTAGACAACTACGTGCTCCAGACAACAAGGTATCTGGTGATGATAGTCCGAACAATATCTCTGAAAATATTTTGAAATGCTTATCGAGCATTCTATTGAGGATGAGCTCAATCAAGAACAGAGGTGCCACTGAAAGTTTACATCTATTCTCAATGCTAACTACGATGCAAACTGAAGAGACGGATCATCAGGACCCTTATACTATATGTTCAGAGTTTGGAATGCGAGATATTGGTCCATACAAGAACGTACGTATAGTTGAAGCCAGTTCAATTAATACAAAGCGGACGACAAACTCATTGTTTCTATTCCAAAGATTGAAGTAAGTTTTGCGCTACTGATAATAATATTACATCGCTTCATGCTGTTGTTTTGGAAATTAAATATTAAATCTAGCCTCAATTTTTCTAAATTTCAGACTCCTCTTGGGGAAACTTGCTTCTGTCAACTTGCAACGTCTTACACATCAGGAGAAACTTGCCTTTTGGATCAACGTCTATAACTCCTGCATGATAAATGTACGCCATTTTTCTGGGAATTTTTTGCTTAAGAGACCCTTCTAGTTAGTCATTTCTTTCTTTTTATTTCTTGGCATTCTTTCCTCTACTTTCTTCGGCACACGCTTACGCGATCGAATTCCTGTAGGCATTTCTACAACTTGGAATACCAGAGAGTCCTGAGATGGTTGCTGGTTTGATGCAGAAGGTACAGATTATTATTGATTATCCTTCTGCTCTACTCTATATAGCTTCGTTCTTTCTTCGTATTTTGGCAAACTAACTCATAATAATAATGCGTCCACCAGGCAACAATTAATGTGAGCGGACACTTGCTAAATGCTATAACCATTGAGCATTTCATTTTGAGACTTCCTTACCATTCGCAATATGTAAGCTGCTGATTTCAATAATGTATTGTGATGTTTAATTTTGAAGTTAGAATCATGATAGATTATTTGAATCTATTCTAAGGATTAGAATAGAATCTATTAAAATAATAGAATTTCTATATTCTATAGAATATAGAAATTATAAGAATTAGAAATTCTAGAATCAAAATAATAAATAAATGTGAAGTCGTTCAACACATTGTTGGATGTAGAACCGATTGTAAAGTTGGGAAGTTCATAACTTTGTAATTTAATTTGACCACAGGCTTTCTCGAAGAGTGCCAAGTACAATGAGAAGACATTTAGAAGTATTTTTGGGTTGGAGTTATCAGAACCATTGGTTACGTTCGCATTATCATGTGGAAGCTGGTCGTCCCCAGCTGTAAGTTCTTAACCACATCAGCAGATTTCCGATCTTTACACCTACTTTTGATTAAAACCTTTATACCATTTCCTTTTTCTTCGCATCAGAAGAAGCCAGTACTGGTTCTGGATTATTACATTACTCTTCAATTATTCTGCAATTCTCTTACTAAAGATAGCTCCTAATAAATGAAAATCTGTTCATTAATTATCTAGGCAATTATTTTCAAGTTATTCATCCATATTAGATTTAAGAGACCCTGATGTTTTTCCATCCTCTGATTCCACTTCTAATTTTCATGAACTTTTGATTAATGAAGGTGAGAGTGTACACAGCATCCCAGGTCGAGAACCAGCTAGAATTAGCAAAAAGAGACTATTTACAAGCTGCAGTAGGAATTGCATCAGAGAAGTTTGGAATCCCAAAGCTGCTGGATTGGTATTTGCTGGACTTTGGTAAAGACTTGGACTCCTTGGTTGACTGGGTCTGCCTTCAGCTACCAAGTGAATTAGGAAAAGAAGCAATTAAGTTGATAGAGAGGAGACAAAACCAGCCTCTTTCTCAGTTTGTTAAAGTAATACCTTATGAATTTAGCTTTAGATACCTTCTCTGCACATAATAATTCATAATCCAGTTGATTTTTCTGTGGATGTTTTCTTTTCTTTTTTTTTTTGGCAGCAATGGTTCAGATTTAGTAGTAGCAGTAGTACACTGTATGATAGGTATTATAAAGAATATAGACTTGTCCATTGTTTGGTAACAGTGCAAGGTGAAAAATTTAAGCACCTCGTGGCTAATGTGAACAACAGATGATTCTTGATCTTGGGTGTACTGAGCATTAATGAAAGAACCAAATTAACTATGAACAGAAGAAGAGAGCATGAGGCTAAGGTGTGTGTGTGTGATTGATGTTGACTTGTGCCAGATGGCATTGATTTGATGGGTTAAGCATTAAAAAAATAAGTGCCAACTGTATTTGGCTGTAACGCAAAAAAGGATTTGGTGAAAAGATGGAATGAAGACAATAACATAATATTACTCAATTTAATCAGCCTGCCAACTCAGTGCACAGGTCATCTCTCCACAGTCCAAGAGGAAATCACATGTGGCCTTCTTCAGACTACGACATTATGTTGTTGTCAAGGACTTTACCATAGGCGGATGCTTGAACTCCAAACTTCGTGGGGCACAGTTTTACTACTATTCTTCTTCTTATTATTATTTTCCCTGCCTTAACCCATTCAACTATGAACTAATTAGAAAAAACGGTATCATTTAAAGCAGGAATTCGATACTTCAAAAAAAAAAAATGTCATTGTAGCTATTTTCAAGTTCACGTGAAACATAAAATCAAAAAAGGTTCAATTGCAACAAAAATGATACATAATTCTATGAAAAAATCATGGAAGGAATCTAAACCAGCCATCCCCCACAAAAGAGATACTGAGTAAACATCCAATCACCAGTTGATTTGCAAAGTGAAAGCTGGAAGATTCTAAGTTTTGGCATGTTGAAAGGAATGGTAGGTGAGTAAGAGGTTTCAAATTTGTCTTAATCTGAAGGAATTTGATTCTAATCAAGAAGAGTGGTCCTTGTAATCTCTTCCACCTAAAACGGGAAAACCTCACCCACCTATATACCTATATTGAAGGGCAACAACAAACTGCTTAGTGTGATCACTACTACACAATACAAATAAAAGTTAAAAGCCTGAGAGTGACCACTCATGTTCTTTCTAACTCCATTTCTTCCCCACCTCTACCACCCGTGAGTTGGTTAAACAACGATGTTTTATGTGGAAAGTATTAACAATTTAGACGTCCCATTTGAAACCCCCTTTAGAATTAAACTTGTCTACTAACCTTTTTCGAAAAGGCTCGAATCATCATGATGCCCATCTTGAAATTTCCTTCAGGAGTCTTCTTGTCGTTGTCTTTCCATCTCTTTGAATTTTCTGAAATTATTAGGTTCATAACGATTTAACAAAATGGTAAAATAATTTATGAATCGAGGACCCAGAGTTTGATTTGGTTGTCTCTTGAGATTTGGTGGGCATCATATCCCTCAGAAATCAAGCTATTAAACGACGACACATGATTGGTCTGTCGTGAAAAATTACCACCATTCCATTGGAATAACAGGAGAGTGGGTGAAAATCTAAGCGACAAACTGAAAAGTGACTTAGTTCATGAAGGTAGTAAAATAAGAACCATCGTTAAGGAAGAAAGCCTAGCAGTAGTTACAAAGAAGAAGAATTATTCCTCTATAATAAGATTACTAACAGATGGTCAAGAGAAAGTAATGCAGATTTTTTTTCTGAAGGACCACATGACAGGGCCACATGGAGATGGAATTCCCAGCTAAGAACAGCCAACAAAGGAATTAGGTACCTGAAAAGGACTGAAATCGGCCCACAAAATTCCAAGGTTCAGAGTCAGACTTCAGGCTGTGGGCAACAAGGTCCATTCTGACCCTACTTGGCCCAACAAGGCCCAGTTAGCTGAAGCTTGAAGACTTATTTTTAATACTTTACACTGAGGAGCCGTTTGAAGATGGAAGGAATTTGAAGTACTTGAATTTAAAAGACAATTATATGATGATCACGGTTAAAAAATTAAGATAAATCCAAATTTTCACTTATGGATTGGGCTATATTTAAATAGAGTTTACTTAATATGTAAACGAAATATATAAATGTAGTTAAAAACTCATGATCTTAATAAAGGACATAAAGAAAGCTTGGGAGATGGGGCTCCTGAATAGTTAACGATACTAGGAAGGAGATGTTGTAAAAGCCAGGAAGACCTTTAAAATCATGTAACATATATGTGACATGAAGCTACATGCAGAAATTATAATAGTAAGTCCAAATGCTGAGTTGAAGTTATTGACAGAAGATCTCCAAAAACTTATTTCATGTAATTCACGAAGTATAAGGTTTCCAAACATACATACCAGCACATTAGATCCTTAGTCAAAGTTATCGATTTTGATTGGGTTAATATCATCTGCAACTTGAAAGCGTCCTACTGATCGAGCAAAGAACATCATTTGCTGTTCCAGGGTAAATTTAATATTTTCTGCCTGCATTAAATACACAAAGTTTAGCATTCTATACCCCAATGCCAAAACTCAGAAGTACCACTCAAAAGATGCAGTAGCGTAGACCTTGCGGAAACCATGTTGTTCTCCTTCATACTCGACTAGAGCAACAGGCAAGCCCTTATCCTTCAATGCATGATAAATCTTACGAGCTTGATTGGGTAGTACTACCTGGAAATTCAATACAAAGTGTTTACCCAACAAATAAGTGGCCTTCATTACCATGAAGAGATGCATAATGTTTCATGTTTTACATCATCATTATTAGGAGAAAAAGAAAGATAAATGGGCATACTTTGTCCTGCAATCCCTGGAATAGGATTATAGGGCAAGAAAATTTGTCAACAAAATTGATTGGTGACCTTTCAAAGTAATCTTTTTCGTTCCCTGCAGCCCATTATAATTCGTTATCAGAATTCAAACTATTAAAATGAGAAGGAAATCAAATATGAGATTCCTTATTTGTTTCTTCAACTCACCAACGAGATTGTCAATATAATGAGATTCGAACTTGTGTGTATCTGCTCTCAACAAGCTTAAGTCAGCTATCTATTCAAAGATGATGAGAACTACAATCAGTCAACTGTTGCATGGTTTCTAGTTTCAAAAGTTAGTAAGCAAAGACAAATATATACATATGTGTGTGTGTATTAACAGAAAGCAGAAGGGAGTTATGATCAAAGGGAAAGGGCTATATGAACAAGTAATACATACAATGCTTAGAAAAAAAAATCTATAACATCAACACCATTAGAGATGATACCGGGTCGTGCACTTAGACAGCCGACTGTAGAAGAAAACGAGCAGTAATCTCCCTTTGTAGACAATAAAATCACCAACAAGCGTTGTAGGCTTGTAGCTGAACTTCAATTTAATACCATGCTTTCATTACTTAGTTTCGGTAATAAGTGATTAAAAGTAAAATTTAAAATCATACCATACCATACCATCTAACATTCATTTTTGTTTCAATGCAAGCAGTATAACAGAACACAGTTTAACAGCAAATAAAATGAGAAAAATTATAACATAAATTTTGGTTTGAGAGCTACGCTTATCACTGTAATTATTCTGAGAGACCAGATTAGCATAAGACAAGACGCTCACCCCATACAAGGAAGCTCCTGCCTTAAAAGTATCTCTAAAAGCAAGAGCAGCTAAGGTGGTATATCCCCCAGCAGAGCCACCAGTGATGCATAATCGTTCTCCATCAACCTTTCCAGAGTCCACCTGGAGAAAACAATATGGTTTGATATTGCTCAAGGTTAGATAGGTGTATCACTAATTAATCATGAAAATATTAGTTCTAGTGAAAGCAGATCGTAGGAGGGTGCCACCAAAAATCTTGCACAACTGCAGCAGTCATTGACATCAACAATTCCCCATCGCCTCAAAAGCCTTTCTCGGTACTCTCTCCCATAACCTTTATAGCAAAATCATAAATACCTTAGTAAATAACTATGATAACTATGAAAAACATTCCTAAACTAGAGAATCTAATTGGCAAGTATGAGGCAATTCAGCATTGCAGGGGAACGGACATAGAAAGAATTTTTTTATTCTTTAAATATATTTAAAACTAGTAATGGTTGCAATCATACCAGTGCTACCACCATAATTGACATCAACATAACCCCAGCCTCGACTAGTCCAGTATTGAATGCTAGGATTTAAATTTCCACGTGTTTCAGCAGTTGGTCCTCCTGTAGGGTAATATCTATAAAATTTCTACTTTTGCAGAAGGAGCTATGCCATAACTAGAAATAAAAGCCAGTAAGAATCATGCCAACAACACATCATTTAAGGTAAAGTACGAAACATACTTTTTCCTGTCCCTTATGAAATAATGACAAATTTTTAAAAAAATGTTCCATTAAAATAAACGGCAAATATTCCAACACCCTACTTGATAGGCAAAAAGATTGCAGGATACTGGTTTGAATTATTTCCCCCAAACTACGAAAGTTTAATGACAGCGTAGTTGCATCATACCATGGCTTTTCAACAACAACGGAGGCTTTTCATCCTGACTAGCCTGGTAAATAGGATTGGACGGTGGATAAAAGTAGGCATAAGCATTTTGGCCAGGAACTTCAGTAGGAAATTCAATGAACTCAGGAAGGCTGAAATACGACTTAAATTTCAAAATATCCGGAGAAGAAGACCAGATAACAGTGAAACCTTCTACTCCCAAGTTTCTTTCATTTAAGGTCACCTGCATGGGAAAAGTGCCATTGTCAAAGACAGGCAGAAACAGTTTCATCCGATGTCTTATAACCAGAAGCTTTTGAAATTTAGCAATGTTGAAAGCAAAAATCAGTGAAAACTACAAAGAAAATGGAAGACAGATAATGGCAGAAAAAATAAGACCTTGGCAATAGATGGTGGATGAAGTGCCGAAGATCCTTCCACATATATACAATGATTTCCCAGAGCCTGCAAACATAAACATGTTTATCTAATATAAGAAAATATTACTAACAAAAAAACATGTCCTCTGTGAAACGGAAAATAAAAAAATCTCAAAGTTTAATAGATCAAGTATACAATATTATCAATATCCGTGAAAGGGATATCAAGCAAGGATAGTGAGCTTTGCGCCTCATCCAAAACTCCAAGATATGATTGCCCACGCTGTCTGCAGGATCCAATGCAGGAAAAGCAGTTGAATGTCTACAAAAATCTGGGAGGCAAAAATGCAGCATGAAGCATAGAAAATAGAAACTTTTTCAATCACCTGTAGCTGCAGAGTATGACGTTTCTCTCGGCACCAATCCTTAAGAATTCATAAGAGTTTGTACCAAAAACCCATAAGGGTCGGGAAAACTCGGCGTTTAAAGAGTATACTGGAGCCACCTCATTGTTAACCTCAAACTGTTTCCATGATAAGCAAGAGTTACAAGTGCCATTATTTCAATTGGAAACGTTATATCATAGAACCAGGTAGGTAGTTAAATGCAATGGAGGCCCATATCAAATGATCTGATTATAGAACGGTTGCCAAAACTAGGTGTTTATTTCCGTTATTTTTTGCCTGACCACTTTCAAAATAAATTCGTATGCAATTTTTGTTACTTTTTCAAGTATATCTGGAATAAGGTGTAACAAAATACAGGTAAATACTGCCATCCATGATTCAATAACCGATAAGCTGAATCTCTAGGAAATTCAATGCAAGTAGTGAAGAGTTCATTTATTAATGCATACGCGATTATTCAACATTAAGCAATCAGAAAAATAAAATAAAAAAGAAACATCTTTTACATACTTGATTTCAAAAACAAATTACAGTATGCATTGTCTAAAGTTCTGCAATGAAAACAAATACAGGTAATAGAAAACAAAAGGAAAACTCACCCATTTAAAAAGATTCCAAAACCCACTCTGTCTATCAGTAATAAAGAATAGTTCTCCTGCACATTCTCAAAATAAATAAATAAACACCAGAATAACCCCAAGCATTACGTTCAGCCATGATAGTCAGTTTAAGAAATCCAGTCACAACCCTATAAAATTGAACCATTCAAGTAGAAGATTAACGGCCCTTCCGAGGCAGGAAAAAATCTACGCAGAAGACAATGGCATCATCAGCCATGCATGGCGTTAATTTGACCTCACATAAAAGTTTAACACATTGACTACAAGTTCTTTAATCATTTCAAAAGCTAATGTACATACCCTGAGCAGACCACTTCGGTTCAGTGGGAGATTCCACAAGCTTTGGATCACCACCAGCAACACAGACTCGTTTGTAGACCTCTCTGCAAGATGATCAATAGCATCAAGATCACAATCCAGAACTTTAGTTTTAAACCATTTTAGATATAAAAACAATATATGATTCTAAGTGGCAGAGATAACTATCACCTATAAAGTATACAAGCAGATCTGATTTATTTTCAAGCGAAATTTTAATGCATTCTAACATAGATTAGAATTAAAAAACAAAATTAATACGAGAAAGAGAATAAAGAAGCATGATAAAACACCATATATGACGGGAAACAGTAACATTTAACACCTAAAACAAATAGCCGGTTTAGAATGGTAAGATCAACCAACTGGGGAGAATGGTTCAACTAACCCATTCTCAGAAAGGTAGCCAACCCAGAGCTCAGATTTATCCCAAGGCATGTTAGGATGACCCCACTCTATCCATGCAATCCGTTCCCCTTTGGGGTCCACTCGTGGGAAGGCATAGAAATCATTTCCTCCAACTAAAACCTTTGGATCTGAAAGTCATGCCCAAAATTAGAACAAATGGCGGTACTAATTGTGTGGTCAACAATTCAAATTCCTCAGTAACTACAACGCATTATGTATGAACTTTCAACAAATTTTGTACACACCAGAGAAAATATGCATACCATTAATATCCTTTCCGTCAAGTTCTACTGACACGATTGTGGTGATTGTATTCAAGCTACTTTGACGTCCATCTACCAAAACAAAATAATTTAAGCATACGACTATACATACAAGTGGTCTAAAAATAAGTTCAACGATAAAGATGTTGATAGCACAAAATCCTGGATTCTTAACACTAAATGAAAAAATGTACCTTCCTGGATGGTAATAAAACGATTAAAACGAGAATCAAACACCCCATCTGCATAACTGACTGATCTTCCACCGTAATCGGGAGTTAATGCTTGCGGAGGCGAATCTGCTTGCGTGAAACCTTAACTTATCAGTAATTGAAAGTTCCACGTCCTTCACATTCTTATTTACAGGCAGTGAGCAATCGAGTGGCTTAAGTCTAGTAAATCCACTCCATCAGTTAACATATAAAAGTCTAGATTAATCGGTTGTTGGTTCACCTGAAATTAAAGATTGCTTGTAAAGTCTTTGGTCCTTGTAATTCGAAAAGACAACAATGTCTCCGGCCACCGTGAATGCACCACCGCCATATTCCTGCGTCGTGTTCCGAACTGAAAACTCCTTTGGAGTAATATCACTAGGCTCATCCCCTGGATTATCCGACTCCTTAACAAGCACACCTCGCCTAAACCATTTTAAACGGAATTACACGAAGCGGCATTTCTGAACTTAATTGCAACAAAATGTTTCGAGCTAAATCCGAACTAGAAAACAACCAGCGAACTTAGATTTATTCATTTTAATCGCTAAGTTGGAAGGAATCGATATCGGTACCCGGATTCGGTGGGGCGTGATTCGAGCCAGATAAGGCGCCCATTTCCGTCGACAGCAGTACCACCAAGGCGCTTGGAGGCACCAGTAACAACTTCGGCGGTAATTGGTGAGTTCCAGGAGCCGTACGGCGCAGTGATTTTGGCGAGCTGCTCGGCTACTTCTGGGACGTCTTTGTTGGTACTAGATGAAGAAGACATGGATGTAGCCATAGGGTTGTAGCTCCGAAAATGCCTTCCAGTGGAGACTCGGTTGATGAATGCTCTATTTAAGGCGTTAAAATTGGAAATAAGAGAAGACGATGGAGCAAAAAAGCGAACAGGTCCTAATAGAGCACAGACACTCATTGAAACGAGCTCGTCTCCGGCTGCGCATACACGCATGCACAAGGTTTACGCGGGACCTTCGGAAAGATTATTTCAGGAGTCCATCAATTTTGGAAATTTTGGAAATTTAAATTAATAAAAATGCATTTCTCTAAAAATAAAAAAATAAAAAAATAAAAAAAAACTTTAAAACTCTCAATAAACTTTTAAAAAAATTTAAAAATACCCTAATTTTGTGTTGAAACAGTTAATTCTTTATTCTAAAAATCTCTTTCAATATTGAGTTTCAACAATATATTTGAATTTTTTTTATCCAGTGGGAAGAACTCAAATTGTGTTTCACTGTTTGTTCTCGAAGCTCAACAACAAGATTGAGAATTGAATTTGTGTTTTCATACTCTCAACATTAACACTTTAAAACTCTCAATAAACTTTTAAAAAAATTTAAAAATACCCTAATTTTGTGTTGAAACAGTTAATTCTTTATTCTAAAAATCTCTTTCAATATTGAGTTTCAACAATATATTTGAATTTTTTTTATCCAGTGGGAAGAACTCAAATTGTGTTTCACTGTTTGTTCTCGAAGCTCAACAACAAGATTGAGAATTGAATTTGTGTTTTCATACTCTCAACATTAACACTACTCAAGCAAATAAGTGAACTAAAATCAGGGCATTCATGCCATCAGTTGGCATATAACAATGCAGACTGATTAACAATATGTTCACCATCTGAATTTAAGGCTTTTCTAATTATTTCACAAAGGCTCTCGTGTTTGAACCATCTTAAACAGAATTGCAGTGCGCAGCATTTTAAACTTAATCACTACAAATTGTTTACCTAAAAACCTGAATTAGGGAACAACAATCAATCTTAACAATTCAATCATAGGATGTAGTCCAAGAGCCAAGGAAAGGACATCCTCATCCGAATAAGAATCGAGGGAAGTCGCTTGGGTGAACCATGGAATGAAAAGTAGTCCAGAGGAACAGGCAAGAATAAAACCCTAGGGAAAAAGTAAAAGCCAGCCAACAAGATTAGTGGACTCTCTACGATTCAACAGTCTGGGGCGTACCTAGTGGGCCTTGAGACCCATTAAAAATTTCTTATCAATATTCCTATGAAATTTGAGTGGAGATTTTTTCTTTGAAACGTAGAGTGGTGAGATATCAAGGGATGAACTAATTCACAATTGTTAACTAAATAGAAACTGGTTTAAATTTTTTGAAAATAACCAAGTTTTGTTTTTTCAAAATTACAAAAAAAAAAAAAATAGTAATTTTAAAAAACTGTGAATTAAAATGTTTATTTAGAAATTTGAATACTATAGTAAAAAATTGAGGAAACAAACGATTATCTATATTGACGGATTGCAGTTTAAAATGAAGTACCAGTGACCAAAGGACCATTTGATATCGGTTGGAGAAGTGATGGCATGATCAAAGCATTTGGGGACATTGAGCACTCAAAACTCACACTGCCATGAAATCGCCTGGGATGTCCTGGCATCTAAGCAAGGATAAAAAGATAATGGCAGCCATATATTTGCAGAACTTAAAAACGATGTTTCTGCAGCAACTTGTATTTTTATTTAATAAAGCGCATTACGAAGTAGCATAACACTGCAGTTAAAACCGATCGAGGAGGCTTTTAAGGAAATGAGGTGACTATAAGAGTCATATGCACTTTTATTTATACTAACCAAAGTTGTCAAATTCGATTGGACTGATCTAATCAGCAACTTCAAAGCGTCCGACCAATCGTGCAAAGAACAGCATTTGTTGTTCCAACGTAAATTTTATATTCTCCGCCTGTGCAAGAGCTCAGATTTAGCGTGTAATTTCCTTGATGAAATAAATATTCCAAACTGACTTCCAAGATGGATAAATGTACCTTGCGAAAGCCGTGTTGTTCTCCTTCGTATTCAATTAAAGCAACAGGCATGCCCTTCTCTTTCAATGCTTCGTAGATCTTACGAGCTTGAATAGGAGGCACAACCTGAACATTATTTGAGTTAGAGAAGGGAAAGCAAAATATTCCAAACTTACTTCTAGTAGGCTTACTTTGTCATCCAATCCCTGGAATAAAATTATTGGACAATAGAATTTTTCCACAAAATTAATTGGCGACCTTTCATAATAATCTCTTTCACCTCCTGCAATCCAGAAAGTTGAATCATTAGACACTAAAATGTAGTTATGGGGTCTAACGAACTCAAATTGAGATCCTACTCTACGTTTTCCAAACTCACCGACAAGATTATCAATATAATGAGATTCAAATTTGTGCATGTCTGCACTCAACATGCGCAAGTCAGCTATCTGTTCCAAACAACAAAAATAAATGGTTACGTATCAACGATCATCATACTAGACATAGACATCAAATTTTCAAATGTCATGTTTCATTTGAACAAAGTACTGCTGGTGTAGCCTAATCAATACATTAAGTGCCTTAGGGTCTTGAACTAGAAAAGGATGGTATTTAATATTTAAAAAGGAAGGAAACTATGAGTGGCTGAAAGGAGAATAAATAGCCTGATTTAAAGTAGTCCTTTTTAGTTGCAAAAAGAAAGATGGTCAGGTTCGTAAGCAAAACCTAAACAATGGAAATAGATTGAAAATTAATAGCCGAGCATATAATGCATCCATCGCAATTAGTTTTCAACTTTGGTGAAATGAATCTAATGAATTATATGGCTTTTAAAAACTGACAATTACAAATTATACCGTGAGTAGGCACAATGATCTAAGGGGCAAGTTTGAAAACCCAAATGTCTTTGAAGTAATAGTTTAAACTGCAATGGTCACCTACTTAAGATGTCCCATGGCTGACAAATGTGCATAAATTGGCTAGGCTAGGACACTAGCAATTGTTTTAAAAAATTGTAGAATTATTCCAATTTAAATACAACGTCATGCATAACTATGATCTTTTCTTCTTCATGTCGAGCATTCAAAAGAAAAGGGTATTACATATAGTAAAATGAATCCAGTTCCTTCACAAAGGGATGCACTATTTGTGACACGATCAGGACATCAATTAAAAGCAGCTATGCTTCGAGACAATTTATAATGGTAATGCTTTAGAATCAAGAATATGATTGAACACTCACACCATACAAGGAAGCTCCTGCCTTGAATGTATCTCTGAAAGCAAGAGCAGCTAGGGTAGTGTATCCCCCAGCAGATTCCCCAGAAATGCATAATCGTTCTGCATCAACGGCTCCTGAATCAACCTACACAAATAAGTAGCCAGTATAATACTTTAAACATGTTATTAAAAATTGATCAGAACCTCCAAAATCTGAAGAAAATAGATGTCGAAAGATAGTCACCAAATATTTTGCACAGCTGCAACAGTCATTGACATCAACAATTCCCCACTTCCTCAGAAGCCTTTCCCGATAGTCCCTCCCGTAACCTTTGGTAAAGAAATATAACCTCAGGAAACAGTATGCTTAAATACAAAAAGCACCTTCATTCTTCAATAAACCAAACAAACCACAAGATAGAACATAGGACAAATTGCACCCCAAATTGATGATTGACGCAGATAAAATGAAAACAAGAAGTACGATGCTCACCAAATAATTCACAGAAAACAAATGCACAATCGTTTCAAGATTATCTAAATGAGAACTTTAATGAGACTATAACAAACAATCCAAAATCACTTCATATCATGCATGTATAGTAGATAGGCCAAAAGCTGAAAAGTGACATTAAAGACACGTAATTAAGGCATTGCAATGAGAAAATTCTACTATTGTATCAACACTATTAGACTCTATCCATTAAAACTCAAAAAACTTCTGTGAAATGATAATGCACAAGTATGCATACCAGAGCTTCCTCCATAGTTAACATTGACAAAAGCCCATCCTCGACTAGTCCAATACTGGATTCTTAGATTTAATATTCCACGTGATTCATCTGTCGGGCCTCCTGTAATAACACATACATAAACTACATAAACAAGGAGATAATAACTATGAAAATTAAAAAGCGCTGGCAACCAAAGTACAAATCTAGGACAGAAAAAGAGAAATCTTATAGGGCATTAGTTATGCAGCTTAACGTTTTAGTCTAATTTATACACTCCTTTGTCAAGATATCAATGGCCAATATTTTTCCGCGGAACCTAGAACTAAATACATTTCTTCAGAAATAACTTAAAAAGAAAAACAAAGAAAAAAAAGGAACTAATCCAATGTTCTTTGTATTGTTGGAATAATTCACACACAATTGTTTTGATGATGACTGCATCATCTAGAACGATCCTTATTACCTTGTGATATGCACCTATTGAGTAAAGTTCTGTTTTTTTATTATAATGAAAAGAACAAATTCACATCATTATTTTGCTAACAAGGTTAAGTTTAGGCTGTACGGAACATACCATGGCTTTCCAGCAACAATGGAGGCTTCTCGTCCTCGCAAGAATGGTAAAGGGGATTGAATGGTGGATAAAAATAGGCATAAGCCTTTTCACCAGGCACTTCTGTTGCAAATTCAATTAACCTCGGAATGCTGAAGTATGACTTATACGTCAAAATATCAGGCGATGATGACCAAATAATGGTGAACTCAACTACTTTCAAGTTTTTCTCTTCTAGAGTAACCTAAACAAGGAAAAACAGTTGATAAGATACGCAAAATCATAGGATAAAAAAGGAAAAAGAAATACTAGCAAGATTACCCTAGCAATTGATGGTGGATGAAAGGCTGACGCTCCCTCCACATAAAAACAATGTTTCCCAATTGTCTGCAAAGGTAAGAGATGCTCCTCGTATAAAATAATGGCATACAACTCACAAGCAAAATGGATTTTCATGAGAACTGAAGAGCTGATTGTGTTAGTACAATATTATCAATATCTGAAAAGGGAATATCAAGCAGAGATGGCGAGCTTTGTGTATCACCCACGACTCCAAGATATGACCTCCCATGCTGCCTAAATGAAATGGAAAAACATGGCCTTGGTGAGAAAAATTATTACTTCATGCGCACAGATCATGAAAAATACAAGGTAGTCACCGAAGTTTTTGGTTACCTATAGCTGCAGAGAATATAGTTTTCTCCTTGATGGCCAGGTAAGAAACCATAAGAGTTTATGCCAAAAACCCATAGTGGACGTGAAAACTCCGCATTCAAAGAATAAATTGGAGACGCCTCATTATCTGCCTCGAACTACTTCCCATAACAAGACAAGGGAAAAAAAGCTGAGTTACAAAGATCGCTATGACCTCATATAATTAATGTGTGTTAGGATCTCGCTTATCAGCAAAATATAATCAACAAAATTATGAATAATTGATTGTCATTATCAGCAATGGCACCAAGTTTGTTGAATACGAGTACATAGTAATTCTTGGGTCCTTGTAGCAAGATTGTAGAGAATCATGTTGTATTTTAAAGAAACAGAGAATTAGTGGTGAAAAAAAAAAACATATCACTGAAGCAAGAACTAAAAAAGAAAGCATACCCATTTGTATAGATTCCAGAACCCACTTTTCCTATCGGTAACAAAAAAAAGTTCTCCTGCACATTCCAATCAGATGAAGTGTTACCTGTCTCTAAAGATGCAGCAAATTGAGTTTTGTCAATATAGAAAGTTTATAAACAGCGAAGTAGAAAACATGTCCAGTAGAGGCTGATAACGAAATAAGCTACATGTTACACCATGATAAACGAGAGAGCATCCTTTTGAAAACAAAAATAGCCAAGCGAGGAGAAGCCCCATCTCAGTGCAATGAAACAAAAAGAACAAATTGATGTTCAGACATTCGTGTTATAACTTTGACCATGTGATGGAAACTGGGTGATGAAACAGTTCATTAATTGAATGGCATAAAAAAAGCACCCTCAGAGGACCACTTAGGCTCAGTAGGTGACTCCACTAGCTCTGGATCACAACCAGCAACACAGACACGTTTGTTGATTTTGCTGCAGAGTAGAATAAAAAGTAGGTCATGTACAACAGTTGTACCATTGCATTGGAATGAAGAAAACGTGAAGCAAAGACGTCAAGAGAGTAAGAAATGAATATTTGTAAGGAGTTACTTACAAACATGAACTCACCCATTTTCAGAAAGGTAACCAACCCAGAGCTCTGATTTATCCCATGGCATGTTAGGGTGATGCCATTGGATCCATGCAATCCGTTTCCCTTTGGGATCCACTCGAGGAAAAGCATAAAAGTCACTTCCCTCTACAAGTACCTCCGGATCTGAGAATTATGTTCAAACAAGATGCAAAATTCATGAGCAAAAAACCCAACTCAGAAAACACCTACATTTAAGTGTCCTTTTCTCATAGTAACAAACATAATTAGCAGCTAGCTTTATTTTATATTACACGGTATGGATCCTCTTTACCTTCTATAGCTTTCTCTTCGAGTCCTATAGATACAATTGTCGTGGTTGGATTTGAGCTGTTATTGCGCCGATCTACCAAGATTGAAGTAATTTTTTAACATATAAATAAATCTTCCAAAAATGGTAAGGAGTAATTCTTAACAAAGGAAAGAACGAAAAGACAGATATGTTATATAATCTATCACACAGGCCCCAATTGTTAACATAAGCAAACACTAATACCTACCTTCCCGTACGGCAATATAACGATTGAAACGTAAATCAAACACTCCATCAGCATAACTGACTAACGGTTCACCATAATCTGGAGTAAGGGGTCGAGGAGAAGAATCTGGCATCAGAGCAAATGCTGACTATGAGAAAAAAGAAACTGGAAATTTTCAGTTTTCAAGGTTTCAAAATTAATCAATGAATTTTAAGAAATGGTAACATTACGGCTACTACTGGGGTTAATGGATTGCTTATATAGTCTCTGATCCTCGAAATTGGAGAAGACTATAGTATCCCCAGATATCATGAAAGCACCACCACCGTACTCCTGTGCAGTGGTCCGAACTGAAAACTCCTTTGGAGTAATATCAATAGGCTCTTCACCCAGCTTCTCCGGCTCCTTGACGAGAACTTCGCGCCTAAACCAATTTAACACGTCCGATTGAAAATTAATTTTCACTTAAAACTAATTGTCGAGTAACTAGAACAAATAGAACAAGGCCATTGGAATTTGAAAGCAAAGCTTATTTTATAACCAGTTAGAAACACAAACACACACACACACACACAAAAAAAAAAAAAAAAAAAAAAAAAAAAAAAAAAAAAAAAAAAAAAAAAAAAAACC